GATTCCGATACCCCAAAAAGTTCCGATTTTTCCGATTCCGATTAATTGTCCCAACACTAGTAGATATATTCAAAAGTATATCGCTCACTCAATGGAAAATTGTATCTCAACGAATTGATACACAGGCAAGACTGAAATTGTTGCACTTTTGGCTTCGTATTTCGCTTTGTTGTTATTAATGATGCAGAGTTAAAACACCATATCATCCGATAAAATGTTACAACAATATCTCTTGTTAGTAACCAAGATTGTAGCAACTGAAACACATGAAAGCTGAAAACATTGCTATTTTTCCTACTCACAAATTTCCCAACAATTTATTAGAAAATTTCTGACGGGGGGACAAAACTGGGGGGGTCATAAATTATTTCGGGGGTCATATGCCCGCCTGCGAAACCCTGTGTCTCCACCACTGTTTTCAGACTATTTTTGGCACCTTAGACTAGTTGAAAAATGTTGTTGGGGGTGACATTGTGTCACCCCTCCTATGCTGGCATATGTCCGCCCCCCCCCTTAGCTACGTCACTAACCGTCATCAACACCATCATCATAAAGGAAGCGATCAGCAAAAAAGAAATTAAAATCTTGGATATAAGATAAAAGCCGACAACGGATATCAATAGGCGTTACTACTACTACTACTACTACTACTACTATTATTATTATTATTATTATTATTGTTGTTGTTTTATTTCCTTTGTTTTTTCTGGTGTATACTCATTTCTTTCCAGGTCCCAACCAGAGACCTAAGGTCAGAAATGGCACCATGACATTTTCTACTGAGCAGTTTGGAAAAAAATCGCACATATTTTTAAAGCCCTTCGTAAGGTGTCGTCTGTTGTGGCTACAATTTTTTGTATTTCTTTAAGGCATGGGCTACCAAGGATTCCTTCAATGAGTCTATTGGAATCTTTTCCAATCAATCCAAGGGCTCCATCTACAAGTGGAATTGTTAATGTCCTCATGCGTCATATTTTTGAGATTTCGATTTCAAGGTCGTTGTATTTTGATAGTTTTTTTAAGATCATCAAAGATACAATGCAACTGCAGTCTGCAGTGACTGCCATGTCAATAAGGAGGCACATTTTGTCTTTGCGTTCTCTAATCACAATATCTGGGTGATTAGCTTTGATTGCTCTGTGTGTATCGTAAAGTCCCATAAAATTGTTACAGAATCTATCTCTGTAACCGGCCTGAGTGGTATTTATATGAATTTCTTGCAGTTTCTTTTCCGTAAGTGTTGCAGATTTTTTAGTGCAGATATTGGTCCACTCTGTCATGCCGGGTTTTATATTCAGTGGGTGCCAATATCGTGCAACCTGATACAAGATGGTCAATTGTTTCTGGATATTTATCATAGAATTTGCATTTTAGGCTAACACAATTTTTCAGTACGTGTGCTTGGTAATTTCTAGTTAGCAAGCATTGGTTATGTGCAGGAAGAATAAAACCTTTATTATTATTATTACTATTATTATTACTATTAATACCGTTATTATTATTATGTGTGCGTGCATGTGTGTGCATTTATTGACATTTAAATGTCTATTGATACTAAGAAAAAACAGATGTGTGTGTGTAAATTGACTGATGCAGGTATGTGTGCATGCGTACGCCTGTGTGCATTTGTTTACAAATACATACACACTTATCTCACTAGAGATATATATCTTATCTCACTAGATATATACATATTGTGAGGAATCTGAATTATTTTAATTGCACAAAAGTATGGCAAGTTTGGAAAACAAAAGCCGAACATAAACACTCGAGTTTTTGCAATTCACAAAGTGTTCATCATCAAAGACAAAGAATCGTTCCTGTGATCAGGACGATTAGTTTTTTCAAGAATGCTCGAAACCATACTGAAAATGGAACCAGTTCTTGGTATGCCAAAGATCTTCTAAACCGTATCCTGCATTTGCCGTGACCTCTGGATATTGGCACAGAGTGAAAGAGAGAGAGAGTGGAAGAGAGGGGTTCTGTAATGGCTTCTTTGTGTTACTTTTGTCTGCATGGAAGTTTTGTTTTTAAATTGATTCCTCTGAACTTACTTAAAGAAGCGATCTACTTCAACTAAACTAAAATATTTAAATAAAAAAAAACAAACTTTGTTTTTCAAGTGAAAATTAGATTTAATCATTATATTTAAGAGGTTAAATTGAAGTTGTCGTCGACAAAGTACGGCTCATTACATTTCGTAACAATTTTTGTATTTGATTATAGGTGAAAAATATATTTACACACATGTATACATCGCGCTAACTTTCTCTCTCTCTCTCTCTCTCTCTCTCTCTCTCTCTCTCTCTCTAATGTATTTTTCATTTCTTAATCCGACATAATTTATTGCTTAAAAACGTCATTTTAAAAATTAAATGCATACTACGAGAGTAGATTCTCCGTTTTTAATTAAATATTAAACTAAAAACAGTATATTTATTTATTTCCATCTACCGTCCTGAATATTCGCGAAATCGTATTAAAGAAAAATATTTTTCTAAAAGAAATCTTTCTAACAAGATTTCTTGAATATTCAGGCCGGTAGGTGAAAATAAATAAATACTGTTTAAATAAAAACAGAGCATCTGCTCAAATATTGGTATCCATTAAAAATAATGTTTAAGAAATAAATTGACACACACACACACACACACACACACACACACACACACACACACACACACACATATATATATATATGGTGTCCTGACGATTGCGTCTAGCATGAAACACACTGTCGCCTCTAAGTGTTGACTCCTATGTTTTTTTTTATATATATATATATATATATATATAAGTATAAGTGCGTAGGTATGCAGAAAATAGAAAAGAACACGTTGGGTGCATAATCCGGGGTTCCTTAGTATTTATTTTTAAGAAGACGGTGCTCCATACAGAGGTAGAGCTTTTATTATAATAATATTTTTTGTTTAAAATATGATTCCTTCGCTACATAAGAGTTCTCATGTTTCAAAAACGAGAGCCGAAATCATCCAAATAATTATTAAAATTAAGTTGAATTGAGGTGTTTAGTCCCGTTTCATCTTCAAGCGAATTCAACTTAATTTTAATAATTATTTGGATGATTTCGGCTCTCGTTTTGAAACTTGAGAACTCTTATGTAGCGAAGGAATCATATTTTTAAACAAAAAATATTATATATATATATATATATATATATATATATATATGAGAAATTTGTAGCTGTAATTCGACCTTGCCAGTCTTCCTCTGTAGCTAAATATTTAAAAAAAAAGTTATGAATGCTATATTTTAAAAAAAATGATTAAATGAATAAACGCACGACATGAGGTAGACGAGGAGGAGGAGAAGGTGAAAATCAAACGCAATGGAAATGTATATATGTATGTTCTTTGTATCCCACTTCAAATGAACTCAAAAGGAACTTTTTAGTATGTATACAATGGGATATAATTTCCGATCTGGTTTAAAAGGTTATTTTTGGGGTCTGGAAATGTTATTATAGTTAATTTCTCTTGTTGACAAGTTTCAATTAAAAAAAAAATGAAAATACCATTACAACCATGAAGACTTGAATTTTTACCAAGAAACTTTGAAGTCGGGATAAAATTGATATTTAAAAGTTAAGTAATCTTTTCATATAATATTATATATATATATGTACATGTGGGTATATATATATATATATATATATATATATAGAGAGAGAGAGAGAGAGAGAGTGTTTGATGGATAAATCGTCGTCTAAATGTCGTAAAAATGAAAATAACACTGACATCTCATTTATTAGTTATATTTACCTAAATTACACAAAATTATCTTGAAATACTAAACAGTAAATTTATTTAAAAAATCGCTATTGACATCAACCACGGCCTCCAGACGACTTCGGAATTTCCTGTAACTCTTCTGGATGGTCCCCTTGTTTAAGTTGCTGCCATAATCGTTGCCTTTAGCTCATCTTTGGTTTTACAAGCAGTTTTGTTGATCTCTCACTCAACTACATCCCCCACATAATAATCAAAGGGATTGTAGTCTGGGTAGTTACGTGGCCGGATGTAAGGAGTGATGTGGTCGCAGAAATTGTCTGAGAGCCATGACTGGATTCTCCTCCTTGTGTGGTATGGTGCAGAGTCCTGTTGTCAGACATAGCGTCTTCCAGCAGTCACCCTCTTGACCCAGGGCAGCACTACCTCCACAAGGCACTTAGTGATTTTATTGCATTGCTTGGGGTGAAATGATTAAAAAATATCGTATCACAGATTAATCCTTGCTGTGTGTACCCGTGAACCCAATAAAACCTGTCATTTGCTATTTGAGAGGTAATGCATCACACACCTTTGAAACTTGACTTTCATGGACATTGCTGTTGATATTTCAGTCACAGAAACAGAGTTTAAATTGGTATTCATTCTCACCATGTTCTGCTTCATTTCTCTATTTTATTTTTGGCACAGGATTAGTGTTCCATCTTCTTTTCAACATAACTTTTTCTGATGTGCCTGTTGATATTAACACATAGACAAAAAAGACAGACGCACTCACACATATGCAATACCTTTAACATATTCACATATGCAAATGTGTACAAAACCTACATACACAAAAATAAATGATATTTTATCACTGTGAGATAGTTATTATAGTAGTTCCAGTTTTTAAGAACTCAGGTGAACCATCTGGTTGTTCTATCAGGCTACTAGCCTTCTACATCTTTTTGGCAACAAGATTCTAATTATCTGCAAATTGGTTAAGCCTTTCACCTTGCAGAGTTGTCTTTCAGATAAGCAATATGGCTTTCACTTCTCTAAGTCAACTGCTGATGCGTTAACAATTATTGCTTTAGATAACTGTTTCTTATATCTCATTTGTAGAAATCTCTTCCGGCTTCTTGCTTCCCAGTTAACTTTCAACTTCAAAACTTTAAATGTAATGTCAATCATTATCTTCTGTCTTCTTAATTCTTGTTCATTTATTGTTCTCTCTCCTTAATAGTACAGTGCATTGCAAAAGTCTACACCCCCTTGATAGATAGATAGATAGATAGATAGATAGATAGATAGATAGATAGATAGATAGATAGATAGATATGAACTGTGTTAGATAATGAATAAGTTGAGATAGATAGCTAGATATGAATAGACTGAATGAGACAGATAGCGAGATAGATAGATAAATATGAATTGTGATAGATAGATAGATATGGACTGTGATAGATAAATAATGAATAGGTTGACATAGATAGATAGATAGATAGATAGATAGATAGATAGATAGATAGATAGATAGATAGATAATGTTGTATAGCCCACTCATGCTGGGGGTGGGAGGTCAATAGTACCAATTAAATAATAATGTTGCTGTCTCTCTCTTTCATCCAGTGATCATGAGATGTTTTGGGCCCAGAGATGAAAGAACTTCAACATGGATAATTTTAACTTAACTACGTGTGTGTGTACAGCTGTTGATGGAATTATTTGTCCTCACTGAATATTTGCTTACTTTTGAAAACTGGATGTATTTTGTTTATTTTAATAGGAATAATTAAGATTTTAAACTCCAATAATTTGTTTTTATAAGCAGATCTATCAAACTTTTATTTAATACACAAAATACATTTGAAAAATTTAAAACTGATTCTTAAACAAAGATAATTTTGAAAAATCCTGCTGCATCAATTACAGCCTACAGACTCCTCGGGTAGCCTTCCATGAGCTTGCATCAGTGGTCTGCTGACAGTTTTTGCTATTCTTCATGGCAGAACTTCTCGAGCTGTGTCAGATTGGATGGGGAACGTCGGAGCACAGCCATCTTTAGATTTCACCATAGATTTTCTATAGGATTGAGGTTTGGAGACTAGCTGGGTCACTCCAAAACTGATTTTCTTGCTAGCAAACCAAGCTTTAGTGCTTTTTGACACATACTTGGGGTCGTTATCTTGTTGAAACTTGAAATTGCAACCCAAGCACAGAGCTAACAGACTTCAGCAGGTTTGCCTCAATATTTCTTGGTACTTGACACTGTCCATGACATCTTGGATGGTTATCAGCTCTCCAGGCTCTGTAGCTGAAATACAGCCCCAAAACATGATTGAGTCACCGCCATGCTTTACAGTGGGGACGGTGTAAGGATGTTGGTGAGTAGCGCCATTTTTCTGCCAAACATAGCGTTTCTTATTTTTTACATATAACTCGACTTTGGTCTCATCTGACCACAAAATCTTTCGCCACATGGTCATGGAATCATTGATGTGACTTTTGGCAAAGTTCAGCCTAGCTTGCTTGTGCATAGGCTTCAGAAGGGGCTTTTTTTCTAGTTATCCTCCCTTGCAGGCCAGACTGGTGCAATACTCTGGAAATTGTAGATGCATGGACATCTTTCCCAGTACTGGAAACTGAAGCATTCAAGTCTTCCAGTGTTGCACTAGGGTTAGAGGTTACCTCCCAGACCAGTTTTTGATTTTGCTCTTCTGGTAAGTTTGCTCGGTCTCCCAGATCTTGGTAGGGTAGCAGTGGTATGTGCATTAATCACTTCTTAGCTACAATTTTAACAGTGCTTAGGGGCAATTCTAAAGTTTTTGAAATCTTTTTATAGACATTATTTTCATTGTACTTTTGAATAATAAGGTTTTTAAGTTCCTGGGACAGAGGCTTGCCCATTTTCTTTCCCAAGTTGGATACCTTGTGTTTACAGTCAGGGTCCAAAGACCAACATACCAAGAAACCATGTGGTGGATGATTTTGTAGGTAGTTAAATCACCTTATATAGCAAAATAATAGACTGGACAAGTTTGTTTGCTATGGTAGAACGTACATGTCACTTTTAATTGTTCTGGATTGTATACATCAATGGTAAACTACATGATAACACAGTAGAATATCTGGGGGGGTGTAGACATTTGCAAAGACATTTTTCTAAGTTATATGATTTTAAGAATCTGTGTGAAATTTTTAAAATGTAATTTTTATATCAAAGAAAAGTTTGATGGATGTGCTTCTTATTTAACAATCATTGGAATTGAAAAAAATGTATTCTTCCCTGTTAAATTATACAAAATATATAAATTTTCAAAGGGGCTGTGGACTTTTGCAAGCCACTGTATATTTATCTCATATTCTCTAACACTCAGTAACCTCTTGCATCTTAGTGATTTCATTGCATTGCTTGGGGTGAAATGATTAAAAAATATCGTATCACAGATTAATCCTTGCTGTGTGTACCCCGTAACCCAATAAAACCTGTCATTTGCTATTTGGAGAGGTAATGCATCACACACCTTTGAAACTTGACTTTCATGGACATTGCTGTTGATATTTCAGTCACAGAAACAGAGTTTAAATTGGTATTCATTCTCACCATGTTCTGCTTCAGTTCCCTATTTTATTTTTGGCACAGGATTAGTGTTCCATCTTCTTTTCAACATAACTTTTTCTGATGTGCCTGTTGATATTAACACATAGACAAAAAAGACAGACGCACTCACACATATGCAATACCTTTAACATATTCACATATGCAAATGTGTACAAAACCTACATACACAAAAATAAATGATATTTTATCATTGTACAAACTAATAATAATCTCTCATGTGGGTGAGTGTCTTTAGGGGGATTTCCACAGAATATGGATTCTTTTTCTTAAGAGAATATGAAAGATTCTCTCTCTTTTACCTCTTAGGTTGGTGTTTATATATCTTCCTCTCATTAGTTGTCTCATGTGTGCACATTCTAAGAATAGCTAGATCAACCACTGAAATCATTTGAGGCATGGATCTGTACCTGGTGGCAAGGAGGTTATCTTCCAGGTAAACCCACTGAAGTACCTAACTTTTCTCTAATGTGACAGTGTGTGTGAAAAGCCTATTCTGGTATCATCATATAAAAACACATATACATGCACATACATAAAGAAACTCAATTAACACGCATATGCAAATATTCATCCACAAACACAAATACAAATAGATTCAAACTTCTCTTCATAAAACATACATACACACACCTACAAAACACTCCTACACCAAAAGATATGTTTCTGCGTATGCATTTCTAGATATGTAAATATATGTTTGTGTGTATTTGGGGGTTAATGTGTTTGTTCATGTGTGTGCACATGTGAGAATTATGTGAGTGTTTGTGCTTGTATTTTTTTTCTGTTTATATTGCATGTGTTTATGCATGGGGTTGTTTATGTGTGCAAGTACATGTATGTATTTAATGTGTGTAAATTTGTGCATATGTGAGTGTGTTTTTCTATGTGAGTGTGGTTGTGCCTCTCTTTTTGTGTGTGGGTGTGTATGTGGAATTTTCTATATTTTTCTATGAGTATAGTGTGTGTGTGTGTGTAAGTGTGTGCGTGTGTGTGTGTAAGAAAAAATATAATGTGAGTATGGCCCTTGAAATTAAAATCTTGAAATTGACAGTATCTCCCACTTACAGTTCATTATTTATATTATTTTTTACACAATAAAAAGCACAAGAGCCACTCAAGGTAGGTGGTTAGCAAATAAGGTTGTTGTAAGAGCATAAAAGATGAGAAGTAAGAAGTGCACATTATAAGAATATGTAGGACAAGTAAAAGTTACCCCTAAACTTGAAGAAGTTAAGGTTAGAGCGATCAGAGGAGAATCCTCCTAAGAGTTTGTTCCACAAAGTAACAGTTATGAGGTAGTAGGTCTATGAGTGGAACTTACTCCTTACCAATAAAATATGAAAGGAATAAGGATGAATTGACCTTTTGTACAAGAAATGTCAGATGTTAGTTGTGAATTTCTGAACTGGTAAAACTATGGAATATAGCTCATCTAAACTATTTGTCACTCAAATAGCAATAGAATCTGTGGAAAGGGGTTGCAGGCTGGAAAACAATCAAAATCAATTTTGAACTATACCGAGGCTGAACAGTGAGAACTGGGCAGCTCCAACCTAGATATGGCAGCAATTGTATATTTTTTGGTTTGATCTGACTCTTTTAAAGTTTGACCATGACAGGAAGAGTCAGGGCTTTATTTCTGATGCAATCTTGCATAAAAAAAAAATAGATTTTTTTAAAATTCTTTTGTAGGTGTTAAATAAGTAAAAAAATATAAACATCTGAAAAGGAAACATAAGTATTTTTTCTTACTCACCTACACCACAGGAAGAGGTACAATGGGACCAGTCAGTGTATTGCCAAGAGAATTCGGGAATTCTTTGAGTTGCGTTTTCTGTGGGAACCGTATACTCAAATTCTATGCCTGCATTTTTTGACTGCAGCAGCAACTGTTGAATTCAAAGAGTATTATTCAGTTGAGAAGATTATCTATTGCAGTATTATACTATGATATATTAAGTCATTTTATTTTTATTTTATATTGCACAATAATATGATATATTAAGTCATTTTATTTTTAATTTATATTACGCAATACTATGATATGTTAAGTTATCTTATTTTTATTTTATATTATACAATACTATGATATATTAAGTCATTTTATTTTTTATTTTATATTATACAATACTATGATATATTAAGTAATTTTATTTTTATTTTATATTATACAATACTATGATATATTAAGTCATTTTTTTTTTATTTTATATTACACAATACTATGATATTTTAAGTCATTTATTTTTTTATTTTATATTGAACAATACTATGATATATTAAGTCATTTTATATGCTATTTGATGATATTTTTAACGATATTATAATTTATATGTCCTGTTTTAATTTTTTATTATATTTTATGCTATTGTATGTTCCTGTGATATTTTATGTGATATTTTATGATGATATGATTTTTTATTATACTGAATGATATTTTATTATACTATAATTTATATGTCTTATTTTAATTTTTATCTGTTACTATGATATTTTATATATTTTATATGATATTTTATATTATTATAAGATTTTTTATTAGACGGAATAATACTTTATGATATAATTTATATGTCCTAGGCACGGTGGAGTAATGGATAGCAGTTCCGATTAAGGAATCATAGAGCCGAGTTCAGATTCCAGTCAAATCCATTACATTCACTTATGTGCTAATCCTCTTCTTCTCCCCCTAGCTATGGGTAAATAGCAGGACAGACCAGTTTCTATAGCCTTGGATGACAACTGGTCTACCGCAGAAAAAAAATGGCAACCTACTATGGGAAAAATTTACCTCGTCAGTCATGTATTGAAAGATACATGATCGCCTAAGCATGTATCATGTATGGCATGTAACTGACTAATTATAACTATTTAGTGTTTCCAATTTGGCTCTTACCAGACCATGAAAAAATTAAAGATAAAAAGAAAAATCAAAAGCCTGGAATTAATTTATTTAGTCCAGTTGTACAAAGGCACGATGGAGCTGAGTTCAAATTCCAGTTGAATCCATTACATTCACTTACATGCTAATACCCTTGAAAAAGGTATGAATCCTCTTCTTCTCCCCCCAGCTATGGGTAAATAGCAGGACAGAACGGATTCTACAGCCTTGGATAGCAACTGGTCTACTGCAGAAAGAAATGGCAACCTACTTCAGGAAAAAATCTGCCTTGTCAGTTATGTATCAAAAGATACATGATCGCCTAAGCATGTATCACGCATGGCACATAACTGACTGATTGTTACTATTTAGGGTTTACTTTATATTTTGGTTTTTATCAGACCAGGAAAAAAAATTAAAGACAAAAAGAAGAATAAAAAGCCTAGAATTAATTTATTTAGTCCAGTTGTACAAAGGCACAATGGAGTAATGGATAGTGGCATGGAGCCGAGTTCGAATTCCATTATTTCCATTGCATTCAATTATGTTCTAATATCCTTAAGAAAGGTATGAATCTTATTCTCCCCCCAGCTATGGAAAAATAGCAGGACAGACCGGATTCTATAGCCTTGGATGGCAACTGGTCTACTGCAGAAAGAAATAGCAATCTACTGCGGGAAAAAATTTGCCTTGTCATTCATGTATCGAAAGATTCATGATTGCCCAAGCATGTATCACACATGGCACTTAACTGATTTTAATTTTTATTATATTTTTGACTATTGTATGTTATTTTATATGCTGTTTTACAATGACAATGTTTTTTTTATTATACTCAATGATATTTTATTATATTTCTTCACTCAAACAATGAAACAGTCACTATCATCCTCCATATATAAATTTCACCAACATAAACAGAAACGTGTTCCTTACCATAATGGTCAATGGTTCTTTGAGAGGCCCTGGTGCATTAAAACTCTCCACATTTCCTTTGCGGGCATAATGAACTGTGGTTCCAGCAATTTGGTAGTCTCCGCTCCACTGAATGTACCAATTCCCATTGAGGTAATATTCGCCTTTGTTATTTCTCAAAGCCAAATAATTATTTTCTGCTGACTCCACTTCAGCCACCATAATATTACGTGCACCAGTTGGAATGATTTTTGCTTCTTGGTAACCTTGAAGAAAAAAAAAAAATATATATATATATATATATATATACTATTTACATTATTCAAACTATTGTCCTAATCTTTGTTGCTATATTTATTACAACTTTTCAGCCATTGCATGCTCCAGCCTTCTTCAGGTGGTTGGAATGTCGAACTGAACCCTTTATTTCACTCACTGGGGTAGACTGTTCTAGTTCCACATGCCATGTTTAATGGATGTCAGTTATCAGTTACCTCCTGTTAATTCCCCTCTCCAAGTTCTCCATTGCCTTAACCGGGTATTGAACTCACACTCTTTGGGTCCTGTCACTGGATCTAACTAACGTCTTTATCCACTGTGCCATGTGTCCTTGGAGAGGGGAATTAAAAGATAACTGATAACTGACATGCATTAAACATGGCATGTGGAACTAGAACAGTCTACCCCAGTGAGTGAAATAATATGTTCAGTTTGACATTCCAATCACCTGAAGAAGGCCAGACCTTACAACAGCTGAAATGTTGTAATAAATATGGCGACAAAGATAAGGACAATAATCTGAATAATGTAAATAGTGTACATAATACCTCATCTCAGAAATATATATATATATATATATATATATATATATGAAGAAATACAGTTTTAAGGTACGTGACATTTATGGGATAAAGTGTAAATTGCTCAATATCAGAGATAGCGCATATGCAAATATAAAAGTGAACTTTGAAAAGTCAACACTCAGAGACTGTTTCATGTTAGAGGCAATCCTCAGGCCTGATGATTGCATCTAGCATGAAACAGCCTGTCGCCTCTGAATGTTGACTTCAATGTTCAGTTTTACACACACACACACACATATATATATATATATATATATATATATCCTCTCCCTCCAGCTATGGGTAAAATAGCAAGACAGACTGGGTTCTATAGCCTTGGATGGCAACTGGTCTAGGAGAAGGACAACTCTGAATTCAAAACCTGCGGAGTTTCGTTTGGGAACCTTGTGGCAATTGGTGCACCAGGTCGGTCTCTGTATTCGTCCCTTCGAAAAGTGTGGATGGTCCTGCATGAAGCTTTCACCACTATAATCAAATCTCACGTGCCGGTGTCGGGCTGTCGGTTTCCTGGAAACTGATCTGCTTGACCCTCATACGTTGAGTTATGACAGGAGAGTCGATTATTATTATTATTATTATATATATATATATATATATATATATATATATATATATATGTATATATTACTGCATTCTATGCCACCACTGGCTTCATCACTTTTGACCCCAAAACCACTTCATAGGCTGTATCAAGAAAAGATAGTTTCTTTTTCTTATTTCTTTTATTACACAAGAGAGACAGATGTGGTCGTATCAATTCTAGGAGATAGCAGGAGGAAGATTTTCAAGGGTCCACATGCTCATTAGATGGCTTAGCATTCCACCACATACGGTTACCCCTCCCTATGAAATTTGGGTGTAGAAAATATATTGACTTCAAGGGGGAACAGCAAGTACCATGTTAATAAGTTAGTAAATGGATGGAAGAATATTGTACATCAGATCGAGCAAATACAGAAATTCAAAAGATAGATGTAAGAATAGTGAAAGACGTCTCCAAGAAGCTAAGCAAAGTAATGTGATAAAGGATAATTTTGTTAGAAGTAAAAAGAAGACAACTGAACAGTTAAGCAACATTGTATCTCTTGAATGGCAGTGAATGCTGGACAATCTCCTTATAGATGAAGAAGAGACTTGAAGTGATGCAAAAGTGGTTCTACAGAAGGATGCTGAGAATTCCATGGACTGAAGTGATGTATGTTACAGATGAAGATTGTCCTTGATAGAACATGTGACTAATTAGGAATTTTTGAGGAAAACAAGAATTGAACTTAACTTCTATATGCCATATACCTTCATAACATACAGCGTAGAAAATAAGTATTTCATCCCCTGCTGATTTTCTGAGTTTGCCACATTACAAAAATAGGAACAGTCTATAATTTTCAGGGTAGGTTCATCTTGATAGTGAGAGATAGAATTTTAAAAATATCTAGAAAATCACATTATATTAATTTTTGAACATTTATTTTTTTTTTTATTGAAAAAAGTAAGTATTTCACCCCACAGCAAAACATAACTCATTATTTGATGGAGAAACCTTTGTTGGCAAGCACAGCAGCCAGATGTTTCCTGTAGTTGGTTACCAAGTTTTTACAGATCCCATGGAGAATTTTGGCCCACTCCTCTTTGCAGATTCTCTATAAAAAATTAAGTTTTGTAGTTTGTCATTGGCCAACTCGAAGCTTCAGCTCCCTCTACAGATTCTCTAAAGGATTAATGTCCGGAAACTGACTAGGCCACTCCATTAACTTAATCTGATTCTTCTTGAGCCACTCCTTTGTTGCCTTAACCGTATACTTTGGGTCATTGTCATGCTCGAACACCCATCCATGACCCATCTTCAGTGTCCTGGCTGAGGCAAGGAGGTTTTCACTCAAGGTTTCCCTGTACTTGGCCCCCATCCATCTTTCCCTCAACCTGGTGTAGTCGTCCTGTCCTCTTAGCAAAGAAACAGTCCCAAAGCATAATGTTTCCACCACCATGCTTAAGGTCTGTCAGCTTTTTTTCCATCCAAACACAGCAAGTTGATGCCGAAAAGCTCAATTTTAGTCTTGTCTGACCGCAGCACTTTTTCCCAACCTTCCTCTGAATCATCTAGGTGTTCATTTTCAAACTTCTGATGGGCCTGTACATGTGCCTTCTTGAGTAGGAGGAGCTTGTGGGTACTACATGATTTCAGTCTACTATGATGTAGTGTGTTACTAATGGTCATCTTGGTGGCTATGGTCCCAGCTGCCTTGAGATCATCAACAAGCTCTTGCTGCGTATTTCTGGGCTATTTCCTCACATTTCTCATCATCAGGTTCACTCCACATTGGAAGATCTTACATGGAGGTCCAGACCGAGGGAGATTGATAGTCAATTGGTTTTTCTTCCATTTTCTTATTATCACACCAACATTTAACACCTTCTCACCTAGCTGCTTACCAATCATCTTGTAGCCCATTCCAGTCTTGTACAAGTATACAATTTTGTCCCAAATGTCCTTAGACAATTCTTTCATCTTGCCCATTGTGAAGAGATTAGATTCTGATTCAATGAAGGATTCTGAGAATTAGTGTCTTTTATGCAGGTAATGAGTACTTGATTAAGAGTAATAATTGAGTTATAGGACTAGTCTTTATGCCTCCTGGTCAAATAACCGGTCTGTGGGGCCAGAATCATTGCTGGTTGGTAGGGGGTGAAATATTTATTTTTTCATTAAAAAGAAATAAATGTTCAAAAATTAATATGACGTGATTTTCTACAATTTTTTTTTATATTTTATCTCTCACTACATACCCTAAAAATTATAGACTGTTCCCATTTTTGTAAGGTGGCAAACTCAGAAAACCAGCAGGGGAGGAAATACTTATTTTCCCCACTGTAGGTGATCATGGCTCTCCACAACTCTCATGTGGCTCTTAGCAGTTTTTCTCCCTTTGCTAAGACTCTCTCCCCACCCATTCTGCCATCCATTCAAACAAGCTTGTCAGGTAAATT